CAGGATTAGGAATGAGCACATCAGAGGGACAGCTCAGGTCGGCTGTTTTGGGGACAAGGTCAGAGAGGCCAGATTGAGACAGTTTGGACGTGTGCAGAGGAGGGATAGTGGTTATATTGGTAGAAGGATGTTGGAGATGGAGCTGCCAGGCAAGAGGTCAAGAGGAAGGCCAAAGAGGAGATATATGGATGTGCTAAAAGAGGACATGAAGTTAATTGGGGTGAGAGTAGAGGATGCCGAGGATAGAGTTAGGTGGAAACAGATGATTCGCTGTGGCGACCGCTAACAGAAACAGCCAAAAGAAGAAGAAGAAGTCCTTTTCATCTTTGGTCCAGAGCATGTGGCTTCCATTCATTCCAAAAAAAAAAAAAAATACTGATTTGTCTTACCATAGTGCATGTTTCCACTGTGTGATGGTCCGTCCCAGATGCCTTCGAGCCCAGAGCAGTTGACTGCTGCTTCTGGACACTGCCAAAAGGACACCCCATGTCAACATGGGGTGTCCTTTTGGCACAGTACAGTTTTAAGCAGCATTTATGGATGTAACTACATATTGCAGTGCCTGACACAGGTGTACCAAAGTAATCCTGAGCCCATGTGGTTATATCGCTTATAGGAGAGTGACAATTCTTAATGCGGTGCCTTTTGAGGGATTGGAGAGCACGGTCATTCAGCAGGGAGGCGACAGTGGTGCGGTGGGTAGAGCAGTCGTCTCCCAACCAGAAGGTTGAAGGTTAAAATCTTGGTGCCTGCAGTCCACGTGTTGAAGTGTCCTTGGGCAAGACACTGAACCCCCCCATTGCCCCAATGGTTAAAGCCATTGGTTGAGTTGGCGCCGCAGATGGCTGCCATCGGTTCTGTACTGGAAACAGATTCCTTGTGTGTAAGTTGGCCAATAAAGGTGATTATTCTTAGCTTGTGTCTGTTACACACTGAAACTCCTCCAGATTCTGTGAATCTGGTGGAATTCAAAAACTATTTAATGAAAGGGAAGGGGGATACAATTTAAGGGGTCAGTTAAATTTAAAAATTCATGCTATACGTACAACCAAAAAAAGATTTTGTATTTCCATAAGTGGGGTAAAACTATGGAATAATTTAAGTGTACTTCTTCCTACTCCATTCAAGCATGTACTAGGTATAAGCAAATTGATATTGGATTAGCATTTGTTGGATATGTGTAAAATTATGTGTGTTGATATATCAACTGTCTTTACATGCTTGAAAGAATAAATAAATCAATCAAATCAAATCTTTTAATTATGTTCTGCACCATAGAGGGTGACATATCCAAATCCCTTCCTATCTTTCTTTGAGGAACATTGTTTTTAAACAGTTCAGTGATTTTCTCAGGCATATGTTGGCAAACTGACGGTCCTCAGCCCATCTTTGCTCCTAAAGCGCTGGCCTTTTGACCCAAATCATGATTGTAATCACCTGTTGACATCTCCTGTTTCAAATGGAATCATTATTGTTTTACATCATTACTGGCCCTGAAATGCAACCAGCCCAACTTTTTTGTAATGTGTTGCAGGCGTCAGAATTGAAATGAGTGTTTATTTTGAACAAAGAATAAAACTGGTGAAGTATCACATCAAATAATGTGCCGCTGTATTGTTTTCAATGTAATACAGGGCACAGACGAATTACAAATCACTACTCTCAGTTTTAATCTTGATTTTACATATTGTCCCAACATTTTCTGATTTGGGGTTGTATGGTTTTGTGTGTGAGTAGGAAGCCCTGACTAGGAAGAGGCTGCTTACTGACCTTAAAAATTTGTCACAGGGGACTTTCAAGATAGTGACTGAAGGAGAATATTTTTTCTGCATGGCCACCTATACTGAGACTTTCTCCCTATGAGATTCTGTTTGATGTGAAAAACAGACTGCACAAATGTGGGTTAGTGAGAGGTAAATTTCATTTCCTTTTATTAGTGCCAGTTGATCTGGCATTGGTTATTTATGAGAGGGTTATTAATGTGTTCCTTATTTTTTGTTTATGCATCAGTATGTGTACATATCCACATTTATAAATCTGTTACACGCCTCTTACTATTAGCCCTGATAGCACCCTGTAGTTAGTAGTCTTTTGCCTTTCCTTCTCCAGCAAGCAGGGTTTTACTTTGTTAAGATGTGACCTCATCATCCTGGCTCAATGATACCTCACCTCCCCCTCACAGCAGGAACAGACAGCCCTGATATCACACATGCACACACACATACTCACACAGGGGCACACAGAACAGCAGCAGCGGGTGCTGGGCAGGGCTTGGGAGATTTTCTCATATTTTCAGAGTACATGCGTGTGTGCACAGGAGAGACAAGCAGAGAGGAAGAGAGAGAAAGCAAAATAGGGGAGGTGAAGGGAAGAGAGTGTGGATCATGCATGTGCATTAACTCCAGTGGCACAGCAGCAGTGGCGGCAGTG